TGTTTAATAAACCATATCTTTCATTTTCGATTTTTAATTCACGTAGTCCGGGAACTTTCCGGACAAACTGTGTATAGAGCTTCAAGAATTTTTAAATAATAATGAATTTTGGCTATTGAAGCAGTAACACTGTTGTTGGAGTGTATATATTAAAATCCGTTTATTAACAATTAATAGTAAATAGCATGAACGCTTTCGACCCTTGTATTAGGTCCTTTTCAAATGCATTTAAATTTCCTAGATAGAAAACGTCGCTCAATGTTGATCAAGGATATCAGCACTAGCCATCCCGACCAACACTTTACAAAGGTGAAAACGCGATCTATCTAAGAAATTTAAATGCATTTGAAAAGGACCTAATACAAGGGTCGAAAGCGTTCATGCTATTTACTATTAATTGTTAATAAACGGATTTTAATATATACACTCCAACAACAGTGTTACTGCTTCAATAGCCAAAATTCATTATTATTTAACTCATATTTGTTCTTCATCTTGTCTATATATTTTTATATTATTTTTGTGGAAATATAATTACTGAACAGACGTAAATTTTTCAATAAAAAAAAAAACAAAAATGTACTTATCAAAAATGTACTTATCAAAAATCAAACGTATAAGATTGGACGCCGCTTGAATTCAAGAAGAATTAATCGAGTAAAGCGATCGCTACAATAATTGGCACAATTATTCGGCAATCCACCCGGTGAAGTGACGCGCGCACCTAATTCTTCCATCCATCCATTTATCCCTGGGATACTCATGTTAATTACGCGCCATTTGTCTCGCGATAACCGCCCGCGTCCGGAGAAATGTCTGAAATTCAACGGGAGATGAATGATGACAGGCGTAGAGCAACGCGCGCGGCCGCCACGTGACCGCGATTTCTCCTTCCCTATGTGCGAAGGGTATCCTTAGCTCGCCAGTCATCGTACGTACAATGCGCGCAATGTGCATTCATGGGAGAACCGAGATATAACCTAGGTAGTAACATACACCAGAGAGGTACCCAGGTTCCCAGCAGTCCCCAACAGTCTCTTCCCACTGAATGGAGATCCTTTATCAGCATCACCGTCTCTCAAGTGTCTCTACTAAAAGATTTCTTCTCGGCTGAGAGCAGCGAGAGTCAAAATTGCTCGGAATAAATCGGAGAGGGTTAATTTTCGAAGAGATTCTCGCGATTCGACGCGTTTGCGATCAGAGTTGAGCCGCTTCTCGCGCGGGAGAGATTTCGCGGCATAAAGATTTCAAGATCAATCGTCAGGCGAAACCAAGCTCTTCGTACTTAAGCCAGGTAGTACCGAATAAAGAGATAGTTTTTATATCCCGATGTGCGACCACACTCAGCTGATAACGAAAGACGGAAATATAACTGAGACATAATTAGCCTTGCTAATCTTATCTTGAGTTTTATCAAACTCATAGTAATGTGTTAAAACGCGAGATATTTTTTTCAGCTTATTTATCTTAAATATTTAGTTAGTTTTATTTCGTTAGTTTTTTATTTTAGTTAGTATTTTTTTTTTTAGATTTATTTTGGTTTTCAAAATTCTAATTTGAAGAGAGAGAAAAAGAGGTTTTGTTTTTTCGGATATTCCTTTTTCTCGTTTAAAATTTAAATAAATATTCATATACTACAAACAACTATATTTTAGAAAAAATATTGTAAAGTATAAAAAGAGAAAAAAGCGGATGCAATATAGTAAAAATTTCAAATTTATCTTTTGTTTGTCTACTTGTACTGCAAATAATCGATAAGCAATAAGCTTTTGATCTTTCTCTCTCTCTCTCTCTCTCTCTCTCTCTCTCTCTCTCTCTCGGAATATTAAACTTTATTAAAAATACTTTCTTAAAGAGATATCACTGTTCTTAACAACTTGCTTCCATTAAATAACGACTGTAATAAAACGCTTCGATAGTCACAAATACAAGATAAAAGCGATAAACGGAAAAGTTTTCTAATACACATATATACGACAGAGATTTTCAAATAATACTCGAAGAAATGATGTATAAATTAAAAACTCGATATTTCCGGAATAAGAGAACATTTCTGAAACATAGATGTTCTTCTTTTTTCGCAACAAATTTAAATTTCTTTTAGATTCTGTATAGCTCAAAACCTTTATTTCTGATAGCGAAATATTTACTACGTGAGCGTGGAGGGCGAGTTTTATCGCATGGAAAAATTCGGAGATACGCGATTAAATTCGTTTGCATTGCGACTGGGATTTTGCAGCCCGGCGGAAGATAACGATAACAACGTCGACCGGGATGATGCGCCCGCGTCATTAGCAATGGAAATTTTAAGTTTCCTGCGTTTTCGTTTCACCGGATCGTAATAATATCGATCGCGTCGGTAATGGGCGTGAAAAAAAGATACAGGTATCGAGAAGATGGCGGCGTAGGAACGTTTGTACGATACGGAAAAAAAAAACAAACAATAATTATACGCGCGGAAAACGCGAATCTCTCTCTTTCCGGATCAATATTTTCGGCATTATCGATTTACGCTTTTAAAACACGGAACACGTCATGCTATACATAGGGACGACATGTGTGTGAGAAAGATAACAGGAGGGCAAATTTATTTTAAGCTCAGCGATATATAGGTATAGCTTCGAAGTCGAGAACCTTCTCAGAGAACCATTAAACGGTATGTATTATGTATATATATATCTCTATGGAAGTGTTTCTTTTATATGAAGTTCACGAACGCGCGCGACGTCTTCGCGGGAATCAGATTCAACGTAGTGCGTACGTGACGCGAATCCATGCCACATCAATTCAATTAACACGAATGTGCCTCGCCGGTGTCTCGCAGCAATTGATGGAAGCGTATCTAATTAGATCGATTCTCGCTGCTGAATACAGTCCCGAGATAATATAGCCGGGCATGGCTAGGCACGCAGCAATCCATCTTACACCACCGAGTTCGAGTTACGTAACTTTATCGTCGGACCGAGAGATAAACGCGCTTCGTAACTTTGTACTTTTCGCAACGTATAATTATACCTCGCCTTGAGAAATAACAACGCGAACGCGGTTTTGTTTTCATTCATTTTTTTTTTTCAAATTACACATGTGTCTCGCATTTGATGCGAATTCGATATCGATTTGAAGTTAGAGAAAAATAAACATAGAGAGATACACGCGAGCAAGGAAAACAAACGCGAATGTGATTTTAGGCTATCGCGTTATTCGGCTCACGTCGTGATGAGAGAGAAGAGAGAGCGAGAGAGAGAGAGACAGAGAGAGTTGTCGTAATCGGAATACGATGTTGACGCAGAGATCTGCATAGCGCCAATTCAATCAACTCTCATCCGGCCGAGGAGACGTCTTGTTCCGTACGCGTACATGCGTTTAATTAGTTCGATTCCGCTCGCCGAATTCGTCTTGGCGCAACCTCAGATTCTCCAAGACGGTAACAATCCATCATGGCGATGGTATGCGCCCGCCATTTAACCCGGTTTCTCTCCCCCCGACGGATCGCGAAGACCGGAGTCGACTCGGACCGAGAAAGCTTCGCGCGCCGCGTTGATCAAGATTAATCGTATGCAAATTACGCGAGCGTCTGCTACGTAGAGAAATTCCGCAAGTTTTCGGGAGTCGTGCGTTTCTCCTCGGAAGACAGACAGGACACAAATGAAAAGATCCAAACGCGCCCCCCTTCCGAGAGATAATGAGTAATCGAAAGAACATCCGAGAAAAATCCCGCTGTTTTGCCAATCAAAAACTTTCGATATTGATTTTTCGAGCAAAGTTTTCGAGTAATGACAATATCAATTTTTTGCGCACACAAAACTTCTTGACGGTAACAGGCGTTAAGAAATAATTGTTAACTTACGTAAGTTGATGATAAAAAATTTTTATGGTTATCTTGTAGTCATTAATTCTTATTGTATGTAGTTATTACCCGAGTCGAAATTTAGCGTCTACATTGAACCTCAATTCCTCTTTTTTTTATGTAGGAGTAAGAAAAAAAGTAGATGCTACTTTGATGCTGCTGTACGTCCGAAATTTCTTTTTTCCTGCTAAAGTTTTAAAGTAGGGTTCAATTCTCAGATCAGACTGCGCATTGCAGGCTCTGACAGGCTCAAAATAGGCTCTGATAGGCTCAAAGTAGGAGTAAGAAAAAAAGTAGATGCTACTTTGACGCTGCTATACGTCCGAAATTTCCTTTTTTCAAAAATTGAGGTTCAATGTAGACGCTAAATCTCGACTCGGGTAATTCTCTTTTTTTTTCTTTGTTCTATATGTTATCGGATAACTGGCTAGCTCAAAATGACTTCATTCGTAAACAATAAATAATGTCTGTAGCATGAAACATCGTCCTTACGTTTTCTAATTTCAAGAAAAAAATTTTAACAAATACGAGATCTGCAAAGCGTCAAGAGCATTTTTTTTATTTTCCTTACTCATTTCATCTCACAGCTTTTAAAGTTAAAAGAAAAAAAAAAAATTTATAAAGAATAAAAAGTCAGAACATTTTTCAAAAGATATTTACAAAAAGCAGAATTGTGTCAACTTTTTGAAAATAAAAGTTTGTACAAAAAACGTTTAACCAAAATTATAGTGTTGGCTATAAAATAGTGTCGTTATTCATTCAGAACCATTCTCGAAAGATCTTTTTCTCGATCATCAGAGAAGGATTCTTCGAATGCAAGAAATATGAGACTGTTGTTTTTTTTATCGTACAAAACTGTTTAGGCTTGTCTGGTCATTACTGACGTAATGGTGGATGTAAACCCGGCACTTTGCGCCGGCCAAGCAGACACAGGCAAGCGTCCGTCAATACAAATGCACACTTACACACACACACACACTCAGTCACGCAATGTGGCAAACGTGGTAGGTAGATATACATAGAGACTATACTGGCAGGGGGGTTCAGTGTAAAACTGCCTTCTGTCCGTAACGTTCTGTCGAACTGTTAGTTGGTCGAGTGAACTGTCGTACTGTTCGATCTAGATCCTTCAATTCCGAAAGAGAAGGCGACGAATCTTTGTCTGAAGAGATTTTCTTATCAAGAAACGGTTTTGAGCCCAATCTTCAAAAAAGAACCTATATCTGTTCTTTCGATAGGAAAAAGTAAGTACGATCTGTGTGAAAAATTCCAACACCGATTTCGACGATGTGTTCCAACTTATTTGACTTATACTCATTAATTTTATCGGACGCATGAGCGATAAAATAAACTCACATTTTGTATCGATCGCGCTTGATTTACCGTTTAGACTGCCGGTGGAAAAAAAAAACACAATCTGCATTAGCCTGGCGACATTATTTCGTGCTCTATTTTCTTTTTTTATTAGCATCCGCGTAAAAAAAAATATATGTATATATATACATATATATGGGTCACACACGGAGGAACTATATTACTCGAGTTTGTGTTCGCGCAGGACAAATGTGACAGGTCGCGAAGACTTTATTGGTGTGCATTATCGAGCGAGATTATCGAAAGTGGATAGAGGCGTGCGTTCTGCACCGATGCTCGGTGCGATTATACATGGAAAATCGTATGCCATAAATTTGATCGAGCTTTGAGGTCGTGGCGCGCGCTTTACATGCAAATAAATCAATGTTCGAGCGAACAGCTTGTGACGAAAAAAATTCAATCAAACAAACAGACGTGGTCATATCGAGCGAATGCGCAAAGCGAATGTTTCGACGTCGACGGGGGGGGGGGGGGATAACGAATTCGACACCCCGTAGGTAGATAGTTGACGGGGACATTTGTCGGATATAATCGTTGAAATTATTGATCGAAGAGAGAATATAGGAGAGAAATTAATCAGCGAAATGTTTCGTTTAAATAATTAGTTTAGTTATGCAAAAAACATTTCGTCAGTTTATTTGACTCACGTGTCACTAAACACGACATGACGTCACACGCTTTTTACGAAAGCGTATTTTATTTATTTACGATACAACCCGAGTCGAAATTTAGCGTCTACATTGAACCTCAATTCCTCTTTTTTTATGTAAGAGTAAAAGAGACAGTAGATCCTACTTTGACGCTGCTATACGTACGAGAAATTTCCTTTTTTCCTGCTAAAGTTTTAAAGTAGGGTTCAATTTTCAGATCAGACTTGCGCATTGCAGGATCTGATAGGCTCAAAGTAGGAGTAAGAAAAAAAGTAGATGCTATACTTTGACGCTGCTATACGTCCGAAATTTCCTTTTTTCAAAAATTGAGGTTCAATGTAGACGCTAAATTTCGACTCGGGAAGATATAAGAATTATTGTAGCAACATTGTGCAAACATATTAACAAATGTAAATTCACAATTTTAACAAATAACGCGCGAGTTATAAAGAGAATATTGCAGAGATACATATTTTTCTACAAAAGATTGATCAAATTAAATTTTGTTTAATTACTTTTTTATTTTAACATAGTTGCACTAATATACTTTGTTAAAAAAGTTTTACCATATTGAGCTTGTACTTTGATACCGTTGACAAATAATACGATTCACCTTGAATAATATCGCAATTATTTCTTTGTTTTTCTAATTTGCGTCACGTCCATTGTGACTGATGACTGTGCGTTTCCGTTAGATAAAAATCGAATACGAAGAAATCACGCACGTATGGAAATAGCTCTTCCAGGTTTAGCTTCACGGCCGCATTGTGTGTGTGTGTGCGGACGAATTTACGTTGGTAGTGTGTAGCCTTAAACGTAGCTTTAAAATAGCGGCAACCGGACAAAACTCGTATAAACCGGTTAACCGTCGGCGTTTCTATTATAATCCGGCGTTTTTCGATTGTGTCTTTTTAAGCGCGCGAAAGATGTGCTACACTGATGTCGTTTTCAATTTAGCAAATTGATATTGTTTCATTTATTTGCCATTTACACATATTGTGTAATATTTAAAGCGTCTAAATATAAATTTTGCCATTTTGCCGAAGCCACTAATCTCATCTAATTTGCAACAGAGATTGCAATATTAATTAATTGACGACACAATTCGGCAACACAATGCGCGAAATTATGTGCATCGATTCGTATACGCGCAATGTTTCCTGCGCGAGAGTTGATTTTGATTGGACTTTTATATAACAATTTTGCCTCAAATTTGCTCAGCAGTCATTTTATCGATAAATATTGATAATCAACTGTCCGCGCATGCGTGTTAATTTTCTGTCCAAAATCGACTTTGATTGTTACGCTCGCGAAAACACCGACACGGATAATTCCCGTTGCGTGTTTACAGAAGAGGACGCATTTTTCACGCCATCGGGTTTTATCGAAAATGCGGTTACGCGGCCGTGAAAATCTCGAAAAACGAGCCGCATCAATAAATTGGTTTTATCTTGCCGTGTGTAACCGAGCGGCGCGTTATTCGACGATCGCGCGTTTAAATATCAATTGCTGCGATGTGCAAAAGCGCGGCGCGGCGCTTGATGTTTGCACAATTTTCGATATCGCGCGGAAACGAGACGCGAAGCGCGGGATGACATAACGCGAGTGTTCCTGTTTCCCTTCTGTTGTTTATTCCATGTGTTTACTCGCCTCTATTAGCGTCGTTTTGCAAAATCTGACACGCGGCCCGAAGCGGTAGTGCCGACGACGTTTACGCGACGGCCGCGTGTACCGACGAGGATTTTGCAACCGAAAAGCTCTTCGTGTCGCGCGAACGTGACGTCTCCTCGATATCTATCGCGCCATTTCGCTCTCCCGTCGTCTTTACGCGAAGGATCTCCTACCGCCGGTATAGTTGGTCCTTTCGAGATCTCGTGGGGAAACGTGCGATGCATGTGTCGCGTACGCTTTAGGGCAGCCGGGAATCTTATTGAATCTGCTGTAATCCCCGACGCATCTCTCGACGTGCTGTTCGGATGCTTTTGACAGCGCTCGCCGCGCTTCGGATCGATGATATGACGTAACGTCTGCTTTCTCAGAACGATATCGATTTTATGACTCCCCCGTTGCAAGACTTTATTGTCACCCCGATAAGCGAGCTTTAATAGCGCTGACGAAAATTTTGCTCTACGCGCCCTGAGAGCGTGAAGAGAAAAACCAGATTTTCTGCAATTTACAACATAGATATGATGTAGATAAAAAAAGTGGGCGAATGAGAAATACTACATTTTTCTTTTTTTTTTTTTTTGAGACAGAGTTTTACATTTTACATTCAAAAACATCTTTGTCAAATTTTATCACAGCTTATACATTTGTTGTATATTTGATTAAAGTTCAAAAAATAGTTAATTATCGATCAGAACTTAGGCTTGCAATTGGAGCAAATAATTTCAGAATTATTGATCCGCACGGTCCGCGCTGTGTTGTAACATCGTGCTCGCTGCAGTATGTACAGCTGTGGAAGGCCAAGCCCGTATAATTCGCGGTATATATATATATATATATATATATACCTAAGTGGCAACCAGAAAACAAGTAGGCAGAAACGTCGCGTCCGAACGACCAGTCAGACCTGTGCATGCGCGCGATTCGCGCTTCGCCGACTTGGGAAGTTCGTCTTTCGTTTGTGTTCGGAAACTTGTGTGGAGAATTCTTTTCGCGACGAAAGAACGAGCGCTATCGATCTGGAAGGTTTCCGGTAAGCGTGCGGGCGAACGCTCGAACGTCGCGATGTTCCGCGAAAAAACTTTTTACAGCAAAGTTGAATTTGTATATATGTACAATGCGTCGTTTTTCTGCATGATTATCTTTTCAATTGAATTGGCACGTGTTTAAACAGCACTGAAATTTTATCGTGTCATTGGATCGCATTACATTTTACCACGTAAGATTTACCGGATGTGCAAACGTACTCGCACAATTCAAAGTCAAATTTTTACGTACATAAGCAAAACAAAATTTATTGAATATATTAAGGGGATCCTAAAGTGAGTCTGTTTTATCGATAAAACTGAATTTTTTGCGCACGCTAAGTTTTTTTTTGGCTGTATGGATCGACAAATCTTTTTCTACGATTAAAGTACATACAATAAGGAGTACGGGAGGTCCAAATTTATATAACAAAATGAAAAAAATTAAAATTTTTAAAACAAATGTTTTTATTTGTTTATATAACTTTGGTCCCGTATCACTTATTGTATGTACTTTAATCGTAGAAGGATTTGTCAATCCATACAGCCAAAAACAACTTAGTATGCGCGAAAAATTCAGTTTTATCGATAAAACAGACCCACTTTAGGATTCTCTAAAGGGGAACCCACTTTAGGATTCCCTAAAGAGCCGTCTACAATGAAGAGTTGTAGGCCGTAATAGTAAGAAATTGACCAATCACAGACAAAGTACAGAAGAATAATCGATTGTGATTTGTCAATTTCTTACTGTTACGGCCTACAACTCTCCATTGTAGACGACCCTTAAGGTTTTTTTGGCTGTATGGATCGACAAATTCTTTTCTACGATTAAAGTACATACAATAAGAGATATGGGAGATCCAAATTTATATAACAAAATGAAAAAATTAAAATTTTTTAAACAATTCTTTTTATTTTTTATATAACTTTGGACTTCCCATATCCCTTATTGTATGCATTTTAATCGTAGAAAAGGATTTTTCGATCCATACAGCCAAAAAAAACTTAGTGTGCGCGAAAAATTCAGTTTTATCGATAAAACAGACCCACTTTAGGATCCCCTTAAGAGGGTACTGGAGCCCGGCTTGTAAACTGGATAGAGACCTGTAAACCGACGTTTTTATAACCTAAATTTTTTTATTTTTTAATTTTATTTACTGCACAACATTAAAAGCGCTTCTACAGAAGCAAATAAATATACAAAACTATATAAAGCTTTTGAAAATGAGTATATAATGCTTTTTTGAACTTGTTTTTCATTCATAATGATAGTATATGGTATCAAATACACATCATCACAATATTACTTTTTGTGCATCAATTAGACAACCAAATCATATTCTGAGTGTTTCATTAGATTGTTTTGTGTCGTACGTATTGCTGTAGTCCAGTGTAAATACGTACATAAGCTTAGAAATAATTTTATATACATGAATATATGGTGAGGTTATAGAAGAAAACTGTATAAGAAAAAATTTATACTGAATTTTGACATTCCAAAGAACAACAGCAAACTCTTAGCATAATTTACTTATTTCTGTAGAAGCATTTTGGATTTGATGCAGTAAATACGGCACAAAACGAAATATTAAAACGTCGATTTACAGGTCTCTATAGTCGGTATCCAGTACCCTCTTAAGACACTAAACAGCAGTTTAAGAAAGAAGCAATTTTTTTTCAAATATATATCCTATATATTTAACATTTGTATGCCGGACTTTAAAGCTGGATCATTTTTCTTACTGGCGGCCCGTCTCGGGCTCAAGAGTTTCTCATGATATTATATACATATCTCATATTCTCGTATTCACTTTCCACGGTCTGATCGATACCAGATAATAATGCTTGAACGCTATGTAACACCGCTTGGCGTTACTATTTTATGCCACGGAAAGTGTCTCGGAACAAAACTTTTGTTGCGTAAAAAACTCTCTTAAGTGTCACATTTGAACATGTAACATATCATCTGGCTACTTTGTAACGAATAAAAAAAGCGTTTGTTTGAAAATTGTAGATGATTTATTGCAGGACAAAAATCCATTTATTTCGATTCCATGATCAATTGAACCTTCCGCTCGATCTGCCTAAAAATCTTCAAAGCTTACGTACAGCGCGCATGTTACTCAATATTTGAAAATACACTTGCTGTCTTCCGAGTTTTGCGATTTTAAAACGACGTACAAATGTCCCTAAGGAGTTGAAACTAGAGACCGTGTCTTGCCTCCTTTCGTATTTCCACGAGATGTCGTCGGGATTAGATACTAATAGAATATTGTTATTGAAAGAGAATGTGAATGGCCTATCAATATACCTCGTGTTCCCGTCGTTTTTTTAATCCAAATTGACGAGATGATATGAGTTTTAGCCGCCGTGGCTTCCTCCGTTTCAGTCGATAATATCGAATTAATGTTGCTGCCCAAGCTGAGCTCTTTGTGACGAGAAGAGGGATGATTAAAGGCTGATGTACGAGCTACCTGCTGATCACATATGATTTTATCATTTATAAAGCAGGCGGAGTCGAGTATTATCGAGTTTTATCTCAATATACCCCGAGTCGAAATTTAGCGTCTACATTGAACCTCAATTTTTGAAAAAAGGAAATTTCGGACGTGTAGCAGCGTCAAAGTAGCATCTACTTTTTTCTTACTCCTACTTTGAACCTATCAGAGCCTATTTTGAGCCTATCAGAGCCTGCAATGCGCAGTCTGATCTAAGAATTGAACCTTACTTTAACCTTTTCGCTCCGGGGATTTTTCCTTTAAAATTGACCTCGCATTTTAGCTGAAAAAGTTAATAATAACCTGCTACCCCCCCCTTCAAAAGTTAATTTTGAAGGTCAAAGAAGTAACCAGGATTTTTTTCAATTTTTTTCCTAAATTTAGTGCATTAAATTGACCTTATAAACATCTATTACGTTCGCTTTTCTTGCTGGTCCATATATGGACCAGTCCCGGAGCGAAAAGGTTAAAACTTTAGCAGGAAAAAAGGAAATTTCGGACGTATAGCAGCGTCAAAATAGGATCTACTTTCTCTCTTACTCCTACATAAAAAAAGAAGAATTGAAGTTCAATGTAGACGCTAAATTTCGACTCGGGTACATATAACGAGAATGCACCGCGTGCCAAAAATGTTGAACCAAAAGATAGAAATGAACGATTTTCCTTAAATGATTCCTCGAGAGATGCTTTCTCAAAATATATACATACATGTATATTTATACATGTGTATGTATATATATCTTTCTCTCGTTCTGAGAAAAAATTCACGGACTCACGGGACTTTACATACAACTTTCTTACATACGTAATAGAAACGATCAACAATAGCGCGGAAACGGAAGAGACGCGACGCAATCCGAAAATTGAAAATGCGCGGAATGTCGCGCGGTGTGTTTTGTCCGTCCGGCGAGATTTCTAGTCTCGCGATGTTTAACCGAGATATTCTCGAGATAAAGAAGCAGGAAGATCACCCGGTCTCTGTATTTTCTCACGGAAGGATCTCCGGCGTCTAGACGCGCATCCCTCACGTATTTCACGGCCCCGAGGGCGTTTGCGGAATTCTTGTTTGCGACGGCGGGATCGTGGGCGGTAAAGCAGGGATGGGAAGGAAAGTGTGGGAAAGGTGAAAATTCACGCAAGAGAGGAGAAACGCCGAAGACTCGTCGTCGCCTTCTCGCGCGGGACACCGCAAAAGTTCAGAATATAGCCCCGAGGTGGCGAGTTGCGGCGGCGACGGGGATGATTGATAGCAAAAGAGTGCGCGGTGCATTTGCGTCTTGCACACCACAATAGGGACCAGAAATATGAGACCGAAATAAAATTCATAGCCGTTGCCAGGGGAGACGTTAGGCTGCGATTGAGATGCAAATAAGAACGAGACACCCGGTAGCGGCGGCGGCGTCGTCGACGACGACTTTTCGTGGCATCTTCGTAACTCGTTCGTTCTCTGACGGAAAAGAATTTTTTATGAGTTCGGCAAGTTCGCGCTATCTTTCTGTGTCGAAGTTTCGGATGGTTTTGAAAATTTCTCCATCGCCGCCGGATGCTTGACACAAATTTCCATATCACAAATCAGAAGCTTTTTCTAAAGTGGAGAGTATTGCTTGTGCGCACGATGCGTGCATACACAAATCAAAAAGATGTAAGATGAAACTAGAATGTATGTACCTGGGGTGTGTGAGGTTTTTGCTATATTATCGGCAACCCACACTGGACGGCACTTTCGATTTCTGACGCAAAAAAATTTCCAAGTCTCAAACGCCATCCACACTTCCGATGAATACAAATTGAGTTTTTAGAGCTGCGTTTGAAACTTGGAAATTGTTTTGCGTCGGATGTCGGAAATACCACCCGGTACACGAGTTACCGATATATTGAAATAGTACAGACACACGATACTAGCGTGATGTTAAATTCCAGTATCGACGCAATGTCGATGATCGGTATCGCGCCAGACTTATTATCCCAGCATTCTGCCAGTACGAATCGATATTGGCGGCCAATATATACCCCAATATTGGTTGCCAATATTGTACCAATATCGGGCTGTCTATAAAATCCCATCTTATTTTAAATCTTTCATTTTATCTAGATATGATTTTTGTACCGATAATTGTTTTTCCACTTCGGCAAAATAATTTTGCTCTCTTGCGAAACACATACAACAAATTATACAATCACAAACTATTCAGTTAAAAGAAAAAAAACTATAATAAATACATTTTTTTTGAACTACAATTTCTTATCAAAATACGCGTGTTTATATCAGCACATTTTTTTCATCTAACATTTTTTTTCCAGGTTAAAAATCCCTGCATCTATAGGTAAATGAATATAGCTATCGTCGGCTGACGAGGCCGTTAAAAGTACTATTCGAGCTGCTGGCGCGGAAACACAGCCCGTACCCGATGAGTGTGAGTATCGAATATTCGGTAATTCTCATAACCGACGTCCGTCCATTACTTGATTATGCGCGGTCGTTTTCTGCGAGATGATCATTATTCTGATCGCATCGGGGCATATCATCGTTTCATCGCTAATCGCCGTTTCAAAGCGTCGTTTGCAACGGTGCAGATCCACGTGATTCACGAACATGCTTTTGTCGTCACTCCGTGGATTAACGCAGCGATTAACGCGCGCTCTCTCTCTCTCTCTCTCTCTTCCTCTCTCTCTTCATTCATGTACCACGATTACATATCGTAATTGTCCTTAACGAAATGTGGTTTCCCAGCGTCTTTTACGGGCATATTTTATGGACACCGCTTGCAAGTGACAAAGAATAAACTAAAGCCCCTTGCACAATGGAAGGAATAGCGATAGCGATAGAAATAACACCAGTTTCAAAGAGTTTATATCTATAAATACCGGTAAGAACAGCGGAATCTAACATATAAAAATACACACGCGTATCAATGCGGATCAGAAAACGGAATAAGCAATAGCGATAAATTTTCCGACGAGTTGGAATTCCGTGTCTATTGCTTATCGCTATCACTATTCTCTCGCATTGTGCAAGAGGCTTAAACGGACTCGGGACACGCTTTTCGCTTTATTATCATAGAACACGATCTCGTCGTGAGTTATTCTCTGTACGAATCAAGTGCAATAAAAGCGTGCGAGCATTTATCGCTAACTTGCGGTGAAACAAGTGCCATAAGACGGACCGCATTGCGTGTACCTGATGCTTATTGCTGTTCGTACAACTCGTTCGTTTCTTATTGATCGCGCTGGTACAAAGCTTTAAGCGCTATGAGAGACTATATAAATTAATCACGAGACGTAAGACTTTTAAAAAAGAACGCTGAACCTTTCTGTTTTATAGTAATATTTTTTATTGCACAACTTATTTTACATTTATTGATCGGAATGAAAAACGCTTCTCTAGAATAAAAGAGAACATGCTAAAAAAAAATGACTTGGACAAAATTCAATAAAAAAAGCGAAAAAAAAATTTGCGGACTGTTAGCACGTAGACAATATTTTTACTTTGTACAAAAATACTTATACAAAATTGGCAGTATAAATCGCAACGAAACTTCGTCGAGATCATTTTAGTGACATAAAAGAATATTTTGAATGTTTTGGAAAAAGATTGTGAAACCATAGACGTATAATATATAGACTGCGCGTTCCCTACCTTTGCCATGTTAAGAAAATGTCTTCAACGTTGAGAGAGAGAGACAGCTGGTGTTGAATAGTAGCCTCATCTTTCTCTAGCGAAGTAGTGGGGAAAATGATAGACAGAGAAAGAGTTACTATTCAAAGTATGTTGTCTCTCTCAACGTTGAAGACATCTTTTCAGCCAAACGCGCAGTCTATATATTATACGTCTATGTGTGAAACTTGTAAAAAGAGAAAATGTGACAATAAAATTAGTGCAGTTCTAGCCAGGGACTTATACCGGTATGCAAAATACCGGTATTTTACCGGTATTTTTGGGTAATACTATGAAAACTCTTATGCAAACCGAAATGCAGAAATACCGGTATGACGTCATACCGGTATACGATAATACCGGTATATTTACCCATATTTACCTATATTTACCGATAATTTTTTCGTGATTTTTTAAAAGTAATATCTTAAAACTATAAGTGTTGTCATTATGTTGATAAC